CCCCGGCGGCTCCGCGCCGGCCCCGCCGCCTTCCCCGCCTCCCCCGGGGGGAGCGAGTGGCCCCCGGCCGCTGCCCGCCCTCCGCCGAGGGGGCTTCGCTCGCTCCCTCCTCCCCACCTTCCTCCTCCTCCAGCCAGTGGGGTGTATGGCGGGGCTCGGACCCGCAGCCGCTTCCCTCAGTCGCCGGTGGGGACCCCAACCGGCCACCTCGCTCAGAGGAGGTGGCCCTGGGGTGCATGCACAGAGGGGCCCCTGTCCCCAGGCTGTTTGGAGCCCCCTTAGTGGTGCCCTTCCTCCTACCTGAGGACACGGAGGGGACGAGGACCAGGTGGCACTCAGGTAGCTCCTCTCTGGGAGGGGGGTATCCCGGAGCCAGGATCCTCTGAGCGCTTCCAGGACACCTGGGCTCCTGCCAGGCTTGGGCAACCCCTCAGGTGTCCATCTGGGGACAGGAGCAGCCCCTGTGACCAGGAGTCCCCAGGGCCTGGGGACACTCCAGCCCCAGCACAGACAGCGGTCTCATCCCACCAGGCTCCCCCCTTGTCCCAACAGCGAGGCTGCCAATTTTCCAGCACGAACACATTGCCTCTCCAAGCGCCCTGCGGCCCCGGCCAGCCGCTCCGGGGACACCTGGCAGCGCTCCAGGCTCCCAGCGGCTCCGTGCCGGCACCGCGGGTGGGCCCTGGTGGGAGCAGGCGGCCACGGGCCCCGACTCGGGACAAGGTGGCCCGGCCACCCCCCCGCTCTGGGGGGTCCAAAGCAGCCCTGGGGTTTTGGGGAGCCTGAGGATGCCCTTGCCTGCTCCGCTGCCCAGCGCACACGAAGGCACCGCTGCTGGTGCTGACCTGCTTCCCCCTTCCAAGGGTTTTCCTGCCGGGCTGGAGCAGGAACAGAGAGCGGCCGAAATCTGCCTGGAACAGCCGGGAAAAGGGAGAGAGGGAGGGAAAGTGGGAAGGAGAGAGGGAGGGCGCCGTGGCCCCCGCCACGTCCAGGCTCCGCCAGCCGCACTGAGTCAGGGAAAGGGCCCAGCCTCCAGGATTCCCGCGTGGAAGCCGCTGCCGACGCTCCCAAATGGCAGCAGAGCCGTTTTCCAGCGGCCACGCAGGGGCAGGGCTGCGCCGAGCAGGAAGGCGCCGGGCTGCAAGTGCCTTCCCGGGCACCAGCACCGCATCCTGCATCCCATGGAAGGGCTGGGACCGTGGATGCTCCGCTGGGCTTGGAGCCGGTGCCCTGGCACGGGCTGGTCCCCTCTGTAACCCCTCTCTGCAGTCACAACAAATGCATCATCCCTGCCACGGAGCGCGCATGAGGGACGCACACGCGTTCACTAAACACACCCTAATTAACAGCTGATATTAATTATCCAGCCCTCAGTAAATAAGCCGTCTTGGGCAAAGCGCGTGCCGTGTTGCAAGCGTCGCTCGGCTCGCTGCTGGCCCCAAGCTGCGGAAGCGGAGCACTTAATTCTGTCACTTGCTGCAGTAATTAAGGGTAATTAGAGCAAGTGGGTGAAAAACATAACAAAGCTCTCCTAATTCCTTTCTATTCACCACTTATTCACCCTGCACCAGCCTTCCCAGCACAGAGTGCACGGAGGTGGCCAAGTGGAGCCAGTGCTGGGCCGTCGGGAAGAGCCGGAGAGGAGCTTTCCTGGAGCACAGCAAGGAGGCTGGAGGAGCATTCCTGCTGCCCACCAAGCCGGCATGGAAAAACCAGCCCCACTTCCAAGAAACAGCTGCTCCGACTGCCAAGAAATCTGATCCACAGCAGAGCTCTGCACTTTCCAGGCGCAGGATGTCTTGTCTCGGATCCCCAGTATCCCGAGGCAGCCGAGTGCAGCATCCCGGCCCGGCACGCGGCCCAGCCCCGCGGCTTGGGCTTGCTCCAACCTGCTCCGCAGGGAATTCCTGCGGCCGCAATTTGAGCAACTCAGCATTTATGTCGGCACCAGGCTCCCAGTTTCCCAAATTTGTGGCGAAGGAAGCGCCCGGGGCGATTTTCCCTAGGTTGATGCAGCCAGTTCCTTCCAGCGGCAGCAGTTTCGCCTCTTTGGGGGGAGACGCTTTGGCGGGAGAGGAGGCCCTTCCCACTCGGTCTCTTTCCATCATTTCCGCCCCCGAGAGTCCGGAATTTGGTGACGGCGGCGGCTCTGCAAAAGGCTGCAGCTCTTGCAGAGGCTGCACATGGACAGGAGCCCCCCGGTGCACTCCAGCTCCTGGAGCTTGCAGCGGGATCACAGCAGGATTGCAGTGGGATCACAGGGCATTGCTGCTTCCCCACCACCAGCCTCTCCCCTTGCCGGTGCCCCCGGCCCGCGGGCGCCACCTCCATGAGTAACGAACACCGCTAATTCCCAACAGCTGCCCCAGGAGAGCTGGGACAGCCTCTCGGAGCATGGGAAGGAGGGGACCCTGCGCTCGCCTTGCGGAGCCCCCCAGCAGCTCCTGTGTCCCCCTTCTCCCAATGGGGTCTGGAGGGTCCAGGAGGCTCCAAAATGGGGTGGAAATCTGGCCCCTTCCCCAGCATGGCTGCTCCGGAGCCCTGAAGTGGAAGCAGCTGGAGCTGGTGGGAGCCAAGTGACGACAGCGGCTTCAGCCCCTGGGCCAGGCCAAGTGGGACAAGGAGACACCGTCTCCTGCTCCCGCAGCCCCTCAGAATCCCAGAATGGATCGGCTCAGCCCTGCTCCCTTTAATCCTCATTAATTTCATTCGAATTCATCTTGGGCTTTGTGGGATGACAAGGGCGAATTGCTGCTGCAGGTGGGGAGGGGGCTGCTGTCCTGGCACCCAGAGGTCCCCACTCCAACCCAGGCGATCCTTAGGGTGCAGTCCCAGTTCCTGCAGTCCCTGCCATGCGTGGTGGGGGACACAGGCACAGGCTGGTGCTCCCTGCTCCCTTGCAGGCACTGCAAGCTCAGGAGCCTGAAGAGATAGAGCTGCCCATCAGCCAACATAGGGGATGGATGCCACTGTCTCCAGGTGCTGGCCATGTGGCTGCACGAGCCCTGCTGCATCCAGCATTGAGGGATGCTGCAGGACACGAGGGCACCATATCCAATATCGAGGGATGCTGCAGGACAC